TAATTTTTCATAATCTTTGTTTGAGTGGTCCAGTTCTTCAACTTTATCCTCCAGTGTTGATATTTCTGTTTTCCATTTCATTAATTCTAGTGGTGAGGCTTTCCCCTGTTATTTCAAGTTGGCTTATTGAGTTTTGTATTTCCTTCTTCATTTCTGCCTGAGTTTTTTTTTCAATGTTTCTATCTCTTTAGTGAATTCATTCAGAAGTTTAATCCCTATCTTCTTTTAGCTCTTTGATTTGTTTGTTGGCATGTTCTTTAAATTCGTTGAATTCCTTGATTATGTTTATGATTTTTTTTTTTCTGTCTTTTTGAGACAGGGCCTCCCCGTAGCCCCAGCTGTCCTGGAACTCACTATGTAGACCAGGCTGGCCTTGAACTCACAGAGATCTGCCTGCCTCTGCCTCCCAAGTGCTGGGATTAAAGGTATGCACCACTACGCCCGGCTGTTTATGATTGTTCTTTTAAATTCAGTGTCCTGGACTATCTCTAGGGGTTCTCCTTGCACAACCTTTCTACAGGATTGGTGGGCTTTGTTGGGGACATAGTGTTTTGGCTTTCCATTTTATTAGTCTTTTGTTGTGGTTTTGGCATGTGAATTTCTTTTGTTGTTTATGATTCTGATATGAGAATTAAGTTGAAGTATGCTTCTGTTTATATTATCTGGATGCCTAGATCCTTTCTTTATTGGTTATGTAAAGCTGGTTGGTACAGGGTTCAGCTTCTTTCAGGTTTATTTTGGAGGGAACTGATGGCTTCAGATCAGCTATTCAGAGGTACCCACAGAAGCCCAATTCAGGTTCCAGTCAGGTACACTTGGGCTTCCTTCACCACGTGGAGGCAGGATCCAGGGTCTCTAGGGCAGTCCTGTGGGTTATCAACCCTATGCCAGAGGGAGGCCAGAGGCGGGCCAGAACCTGGCACTCTGACCGTCTGCTGAGCAACTACCCCGATGGAGGTCTGAATCACCCTCTCAGGCTGTCTTCTTTTTTTTTCCATGTGTCTTGTTAGTTTGTTTCTCCATTGCTGTGACAAAACGCTCTGACCAATACCAACTTGGGGAGGGAAGGGTTTATTCAGCTTACATCTCCCAGGTCACAGTTCATCAGGGAACCCAACGTAGGAACTCAGGGCAGGAACCTGGAGGCAGGAGCTGGAGCACAGGCCATGGAGGAATGCTGCTTACTGGCTTGCTCCCCCTGGCCGCTGCTCAGCCTGCCCAGGGGTGGCACCACCCACAGTGGGCTGGACCCTCCTACATCACTCATCAAGAAAATGGCTCATAGATATGGCCACAGGCTAGTCCAATAGAGGCAATTCCCCAATTGAGGCTCCCTCAACCCAGGTGTGTCAAGTTGACACTAAAGCTATCCAGCACACCATGTAAAAATGTTATCAGAGTTTGGAGGATATAAGCCTGGGTTCAAAATATAAGCCCTGACAAGCAAGCTAGGCTTAGCCACCCATCCTTAATACCCTGATTAAGGAGTTAAGTGATCGTAAAAAGAAGAGATGAGATTTATTCACTGGCCCCACTGGGAAGAGGAAAAAATAAAGGTCCAGTGGCACAAGTCCATCTTCAGGATACTGGACATGGAGTTTAAGCATAAGTAGAGAGGGCTGAATTGATGGTTCAGTGGTTAAGAGGACATACTGCTTTTCCAGAGAATGCAAGTTCTGGTCACAACTCTGGACCCAGAGTAGCACCTCTGGCCCTCAAGGGCAGTAGCACACACATGCACATACCCATAAACAGATAAACACAATTAAAATACTTTTTTTTTTTTTAAGTACAGAGCAAGAGGTATGTATGACTAAGCAGTCCTGGCCAAGGTGAGGTCCGGCTCATCACCAACCCACCATTGTCTTGGCTCCACTCCTGCTAGATGGTCTGACAAGTTGTCTGAACTGTGTAAAATTTCTTCCTCAGAGGCAAGTTCCTCCTCTGGCTGGCACTAGGTTTCAGCTTTCCCCTTCCCCCAGAATGAGATTCCTGGGGAAATTTTAATTTTGTGGGGTCCATTGTTTCTACAGTCTGATAGCATAAGTGTCTCTAAAATCTCTTCTGCCAGGATGCTTACAAAAATGTCAAAACTATTCCTAACTCCAGAGCTAAACAAAAACAGGCTGGATTTGGCCCAAAGCCATAGTTTTTAGACTTCTGCTTCAGAAGCCTGAAATAAGTGTAAGTGTACCTGTGTCAGAAGAGGGCATCATATTCCCCTGGAACTGGAGTTACGGACAGTTGTTAGCTACCATGTGAATGCTGGGAATCGAACCTGGATCCTCTGCAAGAGCAGCCAGTGCTCTTAACTGCTGAGCCATCTCTCCAGCCCCAAAAGCTTGTTCTTTACATTTTTTTTACATTTATTTGTACATTTATTTACATTTTTTTTACATTATTTTTTTAACATTTATTTCTCTGTGTGTGTGTGTGTGTGTGTGTGTGTGTGTGTGTGTGTGAGAGAGAGAGAGAGTGTGAGACACTCAGGTCATAAAGTCTGGGTAAACCCATTGAGCCAGCTGCCTTGTTTTGAAAGCCCTTATCTCATAAACCTCCAGTGTGTGTCATCCTATCTTTTTCAGAAGTTGTCCAGCTGGTACTTGGCTTGGAGAATGCTACTGTAATTTAAGATTTGTGGTATTGTCCTTGTCTTTGGAGCCCACCAGCACTGGGGATTGAATCCAGGGCCACTGGAGTGCCAGGCAAACACTGTACTACTGAACCATACCCCAGCCCTACTGCAATGTATTCAGAAATGCTTAATTTTACTGATGTCAGGCAAATAGTTGACTTGCTGCCTTATGGTTCATTATAAAGGACACAACACAGAAAGTGGGGTATGTTCATTCATACCTGTGAGTCCAGTCCCAAGGAAGCTGAGGCAAGAAGATCACTGAGTTTGAAGCTAGCCTGGGCTAAACAGTAAGTTCCAGGCTAGCTTGGCACTGCAGAGACCCTGTCTTAAAACAAAACACAACTCAGGAATAGTCAGCTAGAAGCGGTGCCTAGGGTAAGGCCTAGGGTGAGGAGCTTCCACTCCCTCTCCACGTGGGGACCTACCCTCATAGTACCCAAATGTGTTCTTCAACCTGGATGCTCTCTGAACTGTCCTTTAGGACCTCTGAGGGGGTTCCATCACATAAACATGACTGATTTCATCACTGGGGGTTGGTGACTGACTCAATCTCCAGCCCTCCCTGCTTCCCCAGAGGTCTAGGTGGGGCTGAAAATTCCAACCCTCTAATCATATGGTGGGTTCCCCTGGCAGCCAGCCCCACCAAGTGAAACAATCCAGGAGCCCCCAGACATTACCAGTCCATTAGCATACAAAATTACATCAGTTGGGATATTCTAAAGGCTTTAGGAGCTAAGTGTCAGGAAAAGGGGCAAAAACCAAATATTGTTTATGGCTTATTCCATAGTCACTTGCATATATAAAATATATATGCATAAAAGCCAGACATGGTGGCCACACGCCTGTAGTCCCAGCACTTGGGAGGCAGAGGCAGGCGGATCTCTGTGAGTTCAAGGCCAACCTGGTCTACATAATGAGTTCTAGGACAGCTCAGGCTACAGGGAGACCCTGTCTCAAAAAGACCAAAAAAAAAAAAAAATGTATATACATGTTGAAAGATTTGAAGTCAATGATTTAAGTAGCAGTCTAGCAATTTTATTCTTTGTGAAAATGTTTCTATGAGGCCGGGCCAGGTAGCGCACACCTTTAATCCCATCACTCGGAAGGCAGAGGCAGGCAGATCTCTGTGAGTTCAAGGCCAGTCTGGTCTACATAGTGAGTTTCAGGACAGCTGGGGCTACAGAGAGACCCTGTTTCAAAAAAAGTTTCTATGATTCTGTTGTCCATTATGAGAATACAGATAAGGCTGGTGTGGTGGCACATCCCTATAATACCAACACTTGGGAGACTGAGGCAGGGGGAGCTGGAATTCAAGGCTGGTCTGTGCTCCATAGTAAAATGTGTCTCTGAAAAAAGGAATACAGTGTGTAAGTACATATAGATTGTCACAGAAGGAGGGAGAAGGGAAGAGAGAGGAGAAGGCTCAAGCAGCTAGGAGATAGTAATGGGAAGATTACTGTGTAAACCTTTGTTTGTATTTCTGCAGGTCTGGGGATGGAACCCAGGGTCTCACATGCCAGCAGATTTACCACAGAGCTCATCCTCAACCCTATGAATGATGTATTCACACATGCCTATATTATTGAGACAGGGTCTTGCTCTATTGACAAGGCTGGCCTCAATCTTGGGATCATCCTGTCGCCTCAGCTTTCCAAGTGACTGGAATTACATATAATGTGTCACTGTGTGAGGCTTAAATGTTTTTATAACTTTGAATTTTGTACCATGTGACTGTCTAAATATTAGGTTTTGGCAGCCTTTCTCACGGCTTCTGTGGAGGAAACAAGCCTGTGTGCGCATCTGTGACAGATGCTCCAGGTGACCAGGTTTAAGAATAGCAGATACCCTGATTCAATTCTCACTTCTCAAGGAAGTTCAGAGATTCAGGCTGCCAGACCCTAAGTCATCAGAGGACTACCTATATAATAGGTTTACCTAAGATGTGCCCTTCTTCCCTTCCTTCCCCATGTTCCTGCCCTCCCAACCCTACTCCCTCAGGGACAGCCTGGCTGCAGGCCCAAGTTGTGCTGTGAACTACTCCCCAACTATGTGGATGCAACTCCCCCTTCCTCTGAAACCTATAAGTGACCCCACTCTGCCCAACGTGGGCCTGAACTTGGCGCCCTCATTGTACTGCAGTCTCTCTGTCCATGATGTTAATAACTCTTCTACACTCCACCATCTGCTGAGACCTAGAGCAGAGTCCCTGATGTTCTGCCTGAGTACCACAGAACCAGACCTTTCTCTCTCCCTCTGCTGCTGTTGCTTGTTTTAATACAAACCATTAAGGAAGCTGCTGCATACACCAGAGATTTACAGGCCACCAGATGTTGCACACACTGTGAGTGAGGAAGTAAGTGATTGGTTGTACTCGCTTGCTGTAAACACAACAGGAAAACAATGGAGCTGATTCATTTGGGGCCACAGAAAATTGCCATCTTTAAGACTGTGGTGAGCAAAGGGATTATAATACTTCTGTAAGAGCTTGTTCCTGGAGTTTTTAAAGTCTGGGCTCTGGCAGTCCAACAAGCTGGGCTCTGTCTCTTGCCCCCAAAATGCCAATTAAAGAAGCCAGCAATAGTGAAAAGCAGAGATTTATTCTATGTGACCCCCAAGTTTGTCTTTCAGGTACTGATAGGAGATTTTGGTTTAGATAGGAGGCAGAGGTAGGCCTGACTAGTCATGGTCAAGGTGTGGTCACCCATTACTGATCCATCTTTGTTTCTGCTCTGGTGTCCTCTGCCAGTTGGTCTGACAAGTTGTCAGGCTGGAATTCTCTTCCTGGGAGGCAAATTCCTTTTCTGGTTGGTGCCAGGCTTTAGCCTTTCCTTTGTTCCAGTGTGAGATTCCAGTATGAGATTTCTGGGGAAATTTTAATTCTATAGGGTTCTTGTTTCAAGAGCCCAAGGGAGGGGTACAACATCTCTCTTTAGAACATCTCTGCTCCTAACAGGCGTTATAGGCAGAGGCAGGTGGATCTCTGAGTTCAAGGCCAGCCTGATCTACATAGTGAGTTCTAGGCCAGCTGGGGCTACAGGGAAGCCCTGTTTCAAAGATAAAAAAACAAAACAAAACAAAAGAATTTCAGACTCTTTGTTCCAATTGGAGGACCCAAGGCTGGCATCATAGGCATTGTATTTGAATGCTCTGTATCAGGCTGAGAATGAGTCTTTAACAGACCAGGACTGAGATAAAACTGATTCTCACTGTATAGCTTTGCCTGGCCTGGAACTCTCTATGTAGACTGGGCTGGCCTTGAACTCACAGTAATCCTCCTCCCTCAGTCTTTCCCAACCCCCAGTTCTGGGGCTGCAAACTGGAGACTATACTACAAGTGTGGGCTGTCATGCTGACATGGAAAAGATTAAAGAAAATATGATGCAGAGGAAGAGATGCCAGGTGGGGTGTGTGAATTCCTAGAATTACTCCAAAGACAGGGAATGGAGTTCTTTTATGCATTTAAGGGAAGTTATTTAGTCTTATCCATGTGCCATTATGTGTGGGATCCATACCTAGATAGGTAAGTGAACACCTCACTATCTTGTAAAGTAGTAAATTTTACATCACTAGTTATCTATCTTTCTTTTTTTTGAAAGTGACTCTGCTTTATTGGGTACAATGCCACACCCAGTGTTTACAATGGTTAAACAGTTCATAAGAATGCCGTCCATGGAGCACTCTAAAAAGTTACTCTAAAACACTCGATGGACACCACTGATTCACTTTAATAAGCAATCTGCAGCTTCTCAGCCAATATCCACGATAGTTCATTTCATAAAACTGTTTGGGGCTGGAGAGATGGCTCAGCAGTTAAGAACATTGGTTATGTTCTTGCAGAAGTCCCGGGTTCGAATCCCAGCACCCACATGGCAGCTAACAACTGTCCGTAACTCCAGTTCCAGGGGATCCAACAGCCTCTTCTGACTTCCTCGGGCATTGCACGACACGGGTGCACTCACCTACATGCAGGTAATACACGCATACACATAAAATAAAAACAAAAAAAACTGTAACCTTGGTGCTGGAGAGATGGCTCAGTAGTTCAGAGCACTGACTGCTCTTGCAGAGGACCCAGGTTTGATTCCCAGCACCCACATGGCGGCTACAAACCATCCTTAACTCCAGTTCCAGAGGAATCCAAAGCCCTCTTCTGACCTCCACGGCATTGCACGGGGCACGAGTGCCCTCACATACATGCAGGCAATACACTCATACACTCATACACATAAAATAAAAATATTAAATAAAATGTTAAAAAAAAAACAAAAAACTGTAACCTTAAGCTGGGCACAGTAGCACACACCTTTAACCCCAACACTTGGGAGGCAGAGGCAGGTGGATCTCTGTGAATTTGAGGCCAGCATGGCCTACATAGTGAGTTCCAAGCCAGCCGGGGCTACAAGGACACCCTGTCTCAAAAAAAGACCAGCCAACAAACTGTAACTTCAAGAAGAAGGAAGTCTGAAGAAATATAAAAATTTCTGACAAATATTTCCCTATTTAGTCATAATCTTTCTGATTTTCTCTGTGATCAATAGTTGACCATCTTCCTTCCAAAGGGCATCATAATGCTTCCATTTGTCTGGGATGTAAAATTGCTGAAAAATGTGAGGAAATCGAGTGTCATATCCACATACTCTGGATATTGAGGCCTCTGGGTTCAGGAAACATCCCTCCTGGACGGTGGAGTTGATCTCAGATGCGAAGACACCTGTCATGGGAGCCTGGTGGCTGATCAGCAGGCACCCTGTTTTGTAAACTGTATCCACATCCCAAGGCACAACAGTCTGCAGATAAATGACTTCACAGGATACGCCAAGCTTTTCTTGTGCCATAGAAGCCACCTTCTGGATCACATGAACCTGCACGCCCCAAGCAACAGAGTCACTTTGTTGCCTTCCTGAATGACTTCTGCCTGTGACCAGGGTTCTTGTGTGGTTCTACAGGAACCTGTTCCACTGCTGCCCTGTAAAATATTTTAGGCTCAAAAAATACGTGGATTTTTATCTATGCAGGACAACAGAAGTCCCTTGGCCTGGAAAGGGCTTCTGGGTATAACCACCTTGATTCCTGGGCAATAAGCAAAAAAAGCTTTTGGGCTTTGAGAATGATAGAGAGCCAGTGGCCAACAGCCCCATGGGGAGGCATGGGGAGGCTCGCACAGTGGGAAAGAACCCCAGAGGGATAGTGATACTTGGCCGCTTCATTCACAGTCTGGTCAAAAGCAGGGAAAATGTAATTTGCAAACTGAATTTCAACAATTTCCAATGACTGCGATTCCAATTTCAAATCCCACAATTCCTTGTTCACACAATGGAGTATTAAACACTCTATATTTTCCAGGTTTGTCTCATAAACCAAAGTGCACTGAAAGATTCCATCAAAGGCAACATCTTCACCAAGTATGACTGCAGTAGCGTCTTTGGCCAGTGAGTTACCCAAGGCACTTACTGACTGGAAGAGGTTCATTTTCTGAGTTTTCCCATGCTGCAGAGGCTCCGGGTCCGGCAGGAAGGTGAAAAGGGCCACCCACCGCGTCTAGGCTGCATCCTCATGGCTGCAGGCAGCCTGGCACCAGCCTCTCATATCGAAGCCAGTGCTACCACCACTCGTGCCCATGGTTCGGAGCCATAGCAGCCAGCTCTTAACCACTGAACCATCTCTTCAGCTCCAGATGAAGATATTCTAAAGAGACACTTGTGCCCCTCACTTTGGCTGTTAGACTATTTTGAAAAAAATGGACCCCAAGAAGGCTGGGTGTAGTGGCGCATGCCTTTAGTCCCAGCACTCGGGAGACAGAGGCAGGTGGATCTCTGAGTTCAAGGCCAGCCTGGTCTACATAGCAAGTTCCAGGTCAGCTGGGGCTACAGAGAGACCCTGTCTCAAAAAGACCAAAAATAAATTAATTAAAGAAAAATAATGGCCCTCAAGAAATTTGATACCCCTGGAATCTTATGCTGGGAAAATAAAATGACTAAATCCTGGACCAGTCAGAGGAGAAACTTTTGTCCTAGAGAGATTTACAACTTATGAGACAACGTTATAGGAGACAATGATGGATCAGTGGTGGGCAGCACTACAACTTGACCAGGACAAGTGTTTAGATATGCATAACTCTGACTATTTACTGAAACTTTAATCTCATTTCAGGACTCCAGAGATGAATTTGGGAGGTTCCTTGACCTCTTTGTCCCTTTTCTGAATGTGGCCACGTTGAATAAATCTTTTTTCTGTTTCTATTTTTTTGAGACAGGGTCTCGCTTAGCCCCAGATGGCCTGGAACTCACTATGTAGACCAGGGTGGCCTTGAACTCACAGAGATCTGCCTGCCTCTGCCTCCTCAGTTCTGGGATTAAATACATACACCACTGCACTCAGTCCTGTTTTTCACTATTAATTTGGCAAAAAAAATTTTTCCCAAACCAAGTGTTTTTTTTTCCCCCCCAAACCAAGTTTTTTTTTTTTTTTTAAACAGTGTTTTTTGTTTTGTTTTGTTTTGTTTAACTTGGCAATTTTAACTGGCTTATTGAGGACTTGTGGCTGAACCTGGCTTCCTGGGGCAGAAGCTGTGACCCTAAATCTAGT